TAACGTTTTCCCTCGCTTTTTAATGAAACGCGTCACGTGACATCCGGTGTATACGTGCGAATGCGCATGCACACAACCGAAGCCCTATTAAAACAAAACGAGCGCAATGTTCCATCGACGACGCACAAGTTTACTTTTCCTTTTTTTTTTTCCCCTCCACTTAGAACACGCCCTATTTAACACGATTGACTAGCGATTACAAAAATCTCATGGCGAAAATTGTTTCTGGGGTTAGGTTAGAGGGTCGACGTTTGACAAGAGTACTATCGTCCGCAACAGTTTTATTTCTATCACGCTACTATAGATTTTCTTTTGTTCACTAAATATACGATATCTACGCGTATTTACCTGCTTATTCTCTCTTTTTCGTTCTTCCTACGTAAACTAGCTTCTGATATCGTTTTTCTCTCTTTTCTTTTCATTCAACCGATTATCAAATACACCGCTTATACATCATGGAATCAATGACGATAGTTCTCTTCGAAGAACCGAAAGAAATAGATACATGATGGAAATTAACCTTAACTAATGCGTACCCGTCAAACGTACAACGCGAATCATTAAATTCTGCAATCTATACACACATAAAAAATACTCTGCTCTTGTTTTGCGCGACATTGAAAAATATAATTGAGAAGGTATGTACTGTAAGCTGGATTTCTTGCGAATAACTATCGTTAGAGAAGCTTACGCATGCGCACGAAAATCAGAAGTGTAGAAATTAAGCAGAAAACAGATTCAACCGTTGCTGTAAATGTAAAAAAAAGTAAAATTCTGAAACGGCGACGGAAAAAGTTTAGATAAAAACAAGGTTTGCAAAAAAGACGATGCGCTTAAGGAAAACTAAAAAAAAATATATATATATATACCTTTCACTAATTGGCTAGCAATTTTAACATTCAACTATTAACACGGCCTGGCCGCGTACGATATTTCGAGAATACTTGAACGAAATTACAAATAAATTGTTCCATGAACCTGCATAAATACTGTGAAACGATATAACATTATAATAACCGAAACGTCACACGTCTCTTTAAAAAAAAAACGTATGTATATACTAAAAAAAATATTTCGTTTTTGTCAGCCCGATGATCGTTGTAACAATAACAATAGTAATGAACAATACATTTCTATAAAGATTCAAATTTTTTTCCTTCGAGCATATTCTTGTTCTCCAAGAAGTGGGTGAGTTTTAAGCTTTAATAATTAGAATAAACCTTTCAACAAATAATGATCTTTCTTTTAATCTCGACGGATCAGAATTCGTAGCATTTTTAACCGGCAAGATTGTAAGCGTATAAATTATCATGGCTTACTTTCTATACAATCGCGAAGCCGAAAGAAATCACTGGATAATCGATTAACCTCGCTCGTCGTATCGATGTGTTTAGGACGGCAATAGTTGCATTCTCTCGCTTGATTCACGCCATTTTCAACGAGCATCGAGAATTTATTTCTTCTGACAAAAACGAGGTATACAACCGAACGAGATATATCGCGATACAACTATCGATAAAACGATGCATGGTGCCACGAAACTTTCAAACGCATCGGTAAACCGAAAAAAAAAAAAAGAAACTTTTCTTTACTATACCTAGCGACGATAACTTCTTTTTTTGTTTCCTTTTTTTTTAAACATACAGGATAATTGTTATGCGGTAATTCTAGATGTAACAATACGTACACCTTATAGCAGTAATTTCCTGTTCGAATAACGCACGAAACCGTCTTTTTTTAAGCGTAGGCCGGACTAACTCGTCTCTCTTGAATGTTAACATAACCTTTTCGTAGCTCGATAGATCGAGCCAGACCCGCTCCCTCAGTATTCTCGTTCTGACTAGATTTACGATAAGTGCATGAACGCAGATGAATGGAGTGCCGATCATCGTCGATTGGATAATTTTTTAATATTACTTTAAATACAATTTTTTTTTTCATGAATAATATAAAATAATAATAAAAAAACAAGCTATCGAGTTATTTAAAAAAAACTCGAGAAGCATTTAACGGTACGAATTAAGTTCTACTATATATCAATAAATAAATAATAAAATTAAATTTTGACAAATATTAGCAACGACAAAGATACAGCACTCTGAATTTAGTACACGGAGAATAATATCGGCCCATCGGTTGACACATCGATAGGATACTATAGTTGCTGGTCAGTAATTATTGCTATGCAAGCAAAAGCTGTAAAAAGGTACGATCAGCTACATTTACATGCGGACGATCATTGCTTTGCGTCAATGATCGTAGATACGACACCGCTTTCGTGAAAGCGGTATCGTACATATATACATATATATGTATGTATATACTCTTACAATAGATTAATTCTCCTTGTACTGACGATATTCATCTCATACATCATTAATTTTTAAGATCGTGCGACGAGTACACAAGATGTGTCGTGGCTTAGAACATCGTTTTGTTCACATATCGATTACCTCGATGCTGCGAATCTCGTACTTCGAGTCCTGCACAGGCTCGAAGCACGTAGATTGCAACACGCGATTTTGAGGTACTCTACCAGTGATTTTTTGTTTGTTTTCTTAAACGGATCTAATATCTACGGAGGACATAAAAACGTAGGAGTATGACACGACGACAATGATCACGACATCGAGTTACGCGCCTCTGATCATGCCAACAAGCCACTCGAATACAATCTGGGGCTGAGTGGTTGTCGTCCAGTGGCTCATTACAAGACAGACGCGCCAAAATATTTTTTTCTTTTTTTTTCTTTGCACTACTGCACGATTTCGCTGCAGTTTTCTTGTTCCTGAATTTATCATTACTAAAACGTATTATCAACTAATTGTTACGCTATCATTACTATTTACCAATTAAACTTTTCCCTTTAAAACTATCAACGACGATTTAAAGTTTACACCAAGGATTTAAATGGAATCGTGATTCATTCGCGATCTCGTTTTCGCTTATGAAAGTTTCATGGAAAATCTGAACGGAATCTTTGGTGTAAACTTGACGGCACGGAACGAGGGACTACGTACCCAAATATTATAGAGTATTTTGTTTATCCTTCTGTCTACTCGATTCTTAAATTCGGGAATACCTGTCTCTTATCTATTTCGAAGTAATTCACCCCTGTCAGCCGTCACGGTCGACAACGATGCCCGATTGAACATAACCTCCATTGGTTTGACGCTTTTCACGCGTTTCAGCGTTTTCACGCTGCGAATAAGGCTCGACTATTTCATCACTTAACGCTAAAGAGCTTTCAGCTTTTTTTTTCTCTAATTTAAGTACACGAGTTGATGCTTCAAGCTTTTAAAGACACCTAACTAGAGACAACACGTACGAAGATTCTGGAAAGTGCATCAATATCTCTAGGTGGACTGTTTCTTTATTCTCTTAAGTCGCTTAGCGGTAACTTCACGCGTTTACACGCATATATGCCTTGTGTATATATATGTGGTATGTGTTGAGTAAAACTGTGAAAGACTCAACACAACAGCAACACCAGAGAACATAACGCGATCGCAATTTCTTTTAAATTGTCCTCCGGTGTTTTCGATCGCCGAGTCTTACCTTGTCCACTGCAATTTAGGCGTATGTTAAAATAAATTAAATTTATACGTGTGTACACATACGTATATATCATTTTGTGTAAACTTTTGACGGAGGCCACCAGTGGACTCCGTCGCGTCTATGGTTGCTTAATATTCTATGTTAAGTATGAAACTCCATGACCGCCTGGTCAGATCGTATCCTGCTCGATCTTCACCAAGCGAGCATGGTACCCTTTTTATTTTTACTCTTTTTTTTCTCTTTTGTTATATTTAAATCCTATCGGAGAAGCGCTGCGAGATGCTCCTCTGGGTAAAGCTCGACGAAAAGTTTAGACCGTTCGAAGACACGTGATCTCGTTCGAACTGGAACATAACTTCTCGATTTCTCTATATAATTACTATATATATGCTATGTATGCACAGGTTTTACACAGACTCGACAATTATAATTGCACCTGCTGTTGCTGGTATTACTTAAAACAAACCCAGCTTACGTTTCAGTCTTGATCACTAGTGCATTTGACACACTACGCTGAGACTTAAAACTTGACTTATTTTTTAAGCAATAATCGGAATAATTCGATTGTTATGTGCTACTGTGTTCTTTCTGTCGTAATAAAAAATAAATCTCATAGGTTGTGAAGGAAAACTAAGTAACGTGTAAGTACGTAAGCGCTAGAAACAAAATGCGTAATAAGTGCCAAGTCTTTATATACGATTTTAACCATGAGTCTGTAAATCAGAAAAAATTCCACGTGTTCCGGGTGGAACTAAATCTCGATTAAAAAACTGATACAACATCGGTGGTTTTCTTATGTTCCAGACTCAAGGTTGTTCCTGTGCGAGTACTTCTTTTTTTCACTGGTATAAAACACTTTTTGTATTCAGAGGTATCCTCTAAAAAACGCTTTGAGAGGAAACGAAATATACAGTTAAGAGGTTACTGAAAAATTCTCATTGATTCGAATCTTTCGTCTTGAGAATTATCGATTCAACGGAAAACGATAGATCGCCCAGCGACCTTTACCATCATGCCATCGAAAATGACTTTCTTTGCTTTTTCTTTTGTACTAATTTTCTTAACCGGTACTCAATCTTCAAAGTACGTGATCTTTATCATTGTCAATGCCGCGAATTAAATTTCTCTCATTGACACGTTTCCTCTCGATCACGTTCTTTCTTGACTTGTTGCAGAAAACAAAGGAAATCGGTAATTCTGCCAAACCTTTTAAGACACTTGGATCCAAACGTGTTTCTTTTTTGTGTCAAATTAACGCCACGCTTTTGCTCATTCATTTCTCTGCGAAAATTACCACTTTTTTGTACGCGAAACAGACTTTGTAGATTCTAGCTGGTTTCCCAATTTCTTGGCGATCTCCACCACTTTTGTACAGCTTGAACGTTGCTTCCGATGACACGTACAATTATCCCCTTGGAGATAAAATACAAAGGAGACCCCGAGCAGCTTCAAAAACGCCGATGTTCAGCTCTGCAGATTGGCATGCTCGCCAATTTTCCAAGCAAGAAGCGTTTAAGATGATATTAACACTGAATCCTCTTCATTCGCTCTTTCTTACTTCTTATTGCGCTCCAAACCTGGCAGGATTGAAGTCTTTGTTGACGAAGGAGAAACCTTGGAATTCTTCTTGGTTAATGTCATTCACTTCGTCCGGATCTTCTGGCGTCAATACCGGATCTTCTCTCGTGAATTCCGTATCGAAGTTCATCGCGTCCTTTTTGCTTTTCTGTAAACATGCATGTTTATCATGAAATAATTTTCAATGAAAAAAAAAAAAAAATAGTTTAGCAGAGTGTATACTTCGCGTTGATAATAAACGTAAACTTACAATTTTTGGTCTGATCGGTGGTTTCACTTTGCGTGCTTCAAGTGCGTCCCAATCTATTTCTTGAAAAAATGGGTGAGCTTTTATGGCATTCTCGCCGCCATTTGCAGTAACACAACCTAATCTCCTGGCAGCGTTTTTTGTCATAAACCCTTTTAAAATAGAAACTGCCTCTTTTGAGATCCAGATAGGGTAGAGCACCTCGTCTCGTAAAATAGATTCAAACAGATCGTCTTCGTTATCCGCTTCGAAAGGTGGCTGACCAGCCATCATTTCGTACATTAAAACGCCAAGTGCCCACCAATCGACACTAGCACCATAGTGCAATTCTTGAAGAATTTCAGGTGCTATGTAGTCAGGTGTACCACAAAACGTTGTCGTGGTCGTTGTCCCTTCGATAATACCCTCTTTGCACATTCCAAAGTCTGCTAATTTACAGTGACCTTCTTGGTCCAGTATTATATTGTCTAATTTAAGATCTCGATAAATAACGTGATGCTTGTGGAGAAATTGCAATGCGAGTGTAACTTCTGCCGCGTAGAAGCGTGCTCTTGCTTCGTCAAACTTTCGAGCTCTCTGGATGTGAAACATTAAGTCACCTGAAAAAATCAAATAGTTCTTTAAATTTACTTAAACCAACTTCAATTTTTTTTTGAATTTATTGATTCTTACCTCCATTCACATACTCCATAACAAAAAACAACCGATCAATTGTCTGGAAACAACTGTGAATAGCTGTGAGAAAAGGATGTTTCGCTGCCAGTGTTAAAATTCTCTTTTCAGTCATTGTGCATTCAACATCGTCGTCTTGTATGATCACGTCCTTTCTTAAAATTTTTACGGCGTAAACTTCGTCTGGATTGGATTTTCGTTCCACTAGCATCACTTTTCCAAAACTTCCTTTGCCGAGGACTTTGAGGAAATTAAAGTCTTCGATACCAAATTTCCTAGCTTCATTCTCAGGTACTGCATTTTCAGGAGAGACAGTAACTGGTTCTTCCGCCCTTTGAACTAGCTGTGAGTTATCTGTCGGTAACGTATCCGTGACTGTTACTGCCGTAGTTGTTTGGCCAGAGTGACATGTTGTTGTTCTATAAGTAATCTTTGGAGTTTTTATCTGTTTATCTGGTGATATATTCATTGCACGTAAAATTTCGGCCATAACTTTAGTGTTAATACCACAGTTGTTTGCTACATTTTTCTGGCACCTCTTGTGAACATTCATATTACAAGCTGTGCAATGAAAAAATTAACAGGTATTACATATTTGTATAAATCATTTTATGAAAAACAAGTATGTTTTGTTAGAAATTTACCTTCACATTGTAAGCCTTGCCTGACTATACCATACATGAGTGAGCCACAATGGTCACAGAACGCAAATTTTTTGTAAGTACGAACGAAAAAACGGTGTGGCATGTCTATACTGAATCGTGGGCTTTCTGTGGCTTGGCTTGACTGAAATCAAATGTCATTTAAATATTAATGAATTCAGTTTTGTAATACTTAATGAATTATTAAGAAAATAGCGATAAATTGCATATACCTCAGCTTTCATGCCTGGACATTTTGTGATAACCGACTTGTGACATCTTTTGTGAACTACACATGTGCAGACTGAAACATAACAATGTCTAATTGAATGTTCGCGTTTTTTTTATGACATTCAGCATAGCATGACCAAAGCTGGCTGCATGCGTGATTAGACGCATTGATTTGAAATGACAAGCATAAATAAAATTTGGTGGATGTTGTGATAGTCTTGCCATAGGAACAGTATATAAGCTTAAACACTGAAGACAGAATATAAATTCTAAGAATGTGATAAAATGAAACCATTAGAACCTCCCAATGATCTGTTACATTTCACTTGGAAACATGCAATGAAATATTTTCCCATTTAGTACCATGTTAAATCATAGCTAACATAATTCTGAGTAAGAAGTTTGCTGATGTATTATGAATGTTAAGTTTTATTTTCCACATTTTATTATAAAAAGCACAGTATCAAGTATTGAGCCATAGGCCAAATCAAACATCATAAACTTCAGATTTTCAAACTGAATAGTGAAAGTTTCTGACTGCCCTAAATGCTTTGATTCTTTATAAAGAACTAAGTACACATACACACACCTAGATAAACATATGTTCACACAAAGGTAGAGCAAGCAAATATATAATTATAATATTTGTTAATAACGTGTATGTGTCTTCTCACCTTGACACTGATAGCCCTGCTTGCCCAAGCCCCTGAAATACAACAGACAAAACACATCACATCATCTCCTTGTATACCCTCAATAAAACACATACGTATGCTTTCTTGGGCCTTAAACCATAATTAGATGTTTATGCCAGTCTTTTAATGATGGTTAGAAAAAATTACTATTAAATTTGTGTTCCTGTTTTACACTTTTGTAATAATTTCTTAAAAATGTTTTTATTATTATATAAAAGACTTGTTGTATACAGGTATTAAGACACATTGTTAACTTGTAGGTAATTTCACCAAACAGTACATGTAGTATATGCTTGCAAAACCAATGCATGCAGCCTATTTCTGGTTAAATAATTGATTCCAATAAACTATACAGAGTATTGTGTAACTATGACTTTACCATAGAGAGGTAAAAGGGGAAAGAATATTTAGAAGCTTGAAAATTAATATACCTAACATGTTTGTTAAATCTTCAGTTCCCTACTCCAAAATAGTATGTTATATACTGATAAACTAACAAAAAATTATTTTTTGTGTATCTGTTATAACACTAATTTAGGTATTAAGAAAATATATACTGAAAGGAATATTTCAGGTAATATTTTAAAAAGCTATGTATTTTCTTAATGATACTACAGTATATTCTAAGAAAACCAAAAACCCAGGCATGCAACTTCAATACTTTTAAAATTTTTAGAAATACCAAAATCCCATGTTAATTTGGTGTGCACCAAATTATTAAATTTTAGTCCACATTGTTTAAAACTACTCTAATTGTAATGATCTTTTAAAACATACACACCAAATTAAATCTACCACTTTATTTTATGAAATGGTTGAAATTAGTAAATGTTTTGAATTAGTGTTAGAGTATGCTTGTGAATTAGATTCTAAGCAGTGTTATTAATATATTTTTGTGAAAATACATACCATATGAAGTCATGGCAATGAGAACAGAAAGTTGGTTGTCTCAGGAAAGTAGCCATGAACTTGTGACCATTTACTTGATGAACCCTACGTCGCATAGCACCCCTTCTCCGGTTGAAACCCTGTCGTTCTTTGAACTCCACCAAGGGTTCCTTCCCAGAGGTGATGCTGCCACCACCTCTGGCTCCAAATCCTTCTCCATCACCTATACCACAGCCTGATTGTTGATCTAAAATTTTATTATAAAAGTATATCCTACATGCATTCCTTCTAACTATTACCTGTTCCTTACCTTGATCATTCCACTTCAGATCGATCCTAACTCTTAACTTTCCTTGAGGTTCAAGGTCAACCTAAAATGAGTTTAATTTCATGTGATGACTCAAAAAAATGAATAATATTACTTGGAGGCACTGAGGTTCATGAAAAAGATATTAATGTTTAAAATGCTTAAAAAACTTAAATATTAATTGAAATGAAGTTTCATTTAATAATATGTACTATGTAATGTTAGAATAAGTTTATGTATATAATAGTATCTTTCCTACTTAAGCTGTAATCGGTCATATTTTTCAATAACCTCATGATTAATATATCACTCAAATACTTTACACTTTTGTGATCTTTATGTATTTGCAGCATTTTATAGAAACTTAATGATTTTTAACTATCACATGTTTCCTACCTAAGGAACATCTATCGTCTATCTTTCTTTGCCTTGGTTTCTATTGACACAATCTTATCAGATTACCTTGATTTGTCCTATAATGTCATAGTAAAAAGAATACACACAGATTACACGTTGCTTTTCTACTACACATGTCAACAACAAACATTATAGTGTCAACATGAAATTAAGTCAAACTGATTGTTTATAATTAAACAAAAAATCAGGGGTTAAAATATAGAAACACACACACACATAAGCATAAACAATTAGGAACTAAAAGTAAGTAAGAAACACTTTATTCTACAGTGTCAGTAAAAAATTTAATAAACATACATTTAGTAAAAAAAAAAAAAAAATTAGAGCAATCGTATCCGAAACCAACCCATAGATCCGCAGTCTTGTCATCCCTGCGGACAAGTTCCTCGAAAGGAATACTGCAGTTCGCGACAAAATAATCCGGCGGTAATGTCGCATCGTGGAAGACAGTGAGTCCGAGCATCACCGCATCCTGGACCTCGTGCGTGAAACACTCGTTCCATACCGGGTCGAAGGTTTTTGGTTTGGTCGACGAACGATCAAGATGATTCTCGTCGACGTCCAGCTGAACGTAGGGATCAAGTATTGGTTCATCCTGCCAGAACTTGCGTTGCTTGTCCGTCGCCCTTAGTCCAACTGCCTCGCATATTTCGATCTTCACTGTCCCCGTGAACATCGCGAATCAGACGCACTACACGATTTAATTGAGAAAGAGAGGACAGAGGACGGACGAGCCAGTCGACGGGCTGTCACGCCTGTCGACGAGCTGACACTTCGAATTGCGCGATCAGGTTATCCAGAATCGAATCAACTACCAGAGTCAATTGAAATGGACCGCAGTTGTGATTTTGCAACGAGTTCTCACGGTCGTAAGCGATCGCTGGAAGGTTCGATATATATATGTATATACGTGCGATATGAAAACCTCCGTATGATTTCACAAATAGGTTCCCGCGGTAAATACGACCTTCCGTAGAAATGTGTGGCGCACCGCTTCGAATATCCCGTCCAACGAGCCTTCGGATATCTTTCTCCTTTTCTCTCTCTCTCGTTCTCTTACACGTACACTCTCTTCTGCTCTTTCTCCCTCTGTCCCTCTCTCTCACTTTATCTCGCTTCCAAGTTTCTGCCCCTTCTCTTTCTCCTCCTCTCCCTTTCCCTTTCCCTTCGTCACCGCCACCAGCACCGTGCAGTTATAAACACTCGGCTCTCTTCGCGTTCACATATAACAGACGCGGAAACGGAAGCTGAATCGGCGACGGCAGCAACAGGAGCCTGTCGTCGACACTGAGACGCAGAGAAGGTGGATGCAGGACGAGCAAACGCGAGGCGATGCTGCTTATTGTGAGGCGCCCTGTTCGCAAGTGCAAGACCTGTCCTTGTATTTCCGATATCCTGAGGGCCATTAAGCTTCTCTTTCTCTCTTGGATTCTATCCTTCGTGTATGTGTTTCCCCCCCCGTTCGTGGGTCACTGAACGATTCTATACAAGACTTACACCGTAAAATTCTTGTTTCACGATTTACGAGAGGAACGACGTATCGCGGATAAGCACTCGTTTACCGTCCCTGGACAGCCCCTCCGACCCGAACCGCTCGATTGGTCACTCCGCGCTTCGTCTAAAGGGCGACTCGATCTCGGCCTCGAATGCCTTTCGGAATATCTCGTGCGTTTCCGTCGAAAGCTCAGGCTGCGTTTCCACCCGCGGACCGAACGTTTTATTCACTAAATTCGACCCTGGATTTTTCGACATATTTCTTTCGAAATATTACACGAATGTTTCAGTATAGTGTGATCAAAAGTGTATTCGTGACTTTTCGTGTATAAAGTGCATTATTCACTAACTCGCCAGGACTCAACTATATGGAGAGCTTGCGGAATAAGTAGAAACACTAGAATGATGCGTGGCCATCTGATTGGCGGAGGTCTGGCTAAAAAAAGCGCGCTTCTACTTACGGCACTGGTATCCAGCGTGTACTAAAAGATCCAGAGCTATTTAGAAACTAACTCTTTTCGGCTAAAATACATTCTAAACAAACAACAGAACTTCCTCTTTTTCCACTGTGAAATATTACCACAATATTTAAACATTCTTCCACGTACGGCAAGTTAGGGATGTAGATTTAGGGAAATAGGTCTCTGATTGGGCAAACAGTTGGCCTCGTATCTAAAATAATGAACTAAGGACGCGCTAATAACGATAACTACGATGGGTAAAGGAATTTCTGGTCTTTATTGAGCTATATAAATAAACGAACACAGTATGAGTCTAATATTTACACCCATGATACACATTAAACGCAACGATATCCTCGTGTCAGACTCTCGGGCCAGGACATTTTTGCGTTAGTGGCTCCGACACGTTCGATGACGGAACAGAGAGACCCGCGAGAAGATCAGATCGTTCTAAACGAGAACTATAATCCTCGACGACCGACCGAAAACTTTGTCTTTTTTTTTTTTTCTTATTTCGTAACTACGTTACATCCCTGAGTCATGGACTCGATATCATAATAACACTACAATATTCACGACGAAGGAAGTACCGTTTGCAATTTATTCGATCGATCGTCGATTCTGGCAGTCGCGGCGTATCTCGTTATTCAAAGAATAAATATCTCATCGGAATATGAAGGGGATTACGTGTAGACGTGACTTCGGTCATGACTATATTCGCGCACGGGATAACGGCGATCTACGCGTTAATCTCTCGATCATTCTATGTACCGACGACCACATCCGACGTGGATGTGCTTTCTTCCGCCTCGGCTATATCCTTCTTCTTTTCCTCTTGCTCTACGCCCGATATCACATAGACTGGCTGTTGGTATGCGAGGAAATGTTGATCCGCTGCCAACGTTTTCGATGGATCCTTCATTTTTATCTGATAAAAAATTTATCGAATGATTAAACATTTATTTTATCGAATGTTATTTGTATTTGTATAGGCCATAACGATTTTTCAGCCGTTTGCGACAATATAATGAAAAAAGTTGCTAACAAAAATTAACTTTCCAATTTGTTAATAATTTTTCTTATTACATTGTCGTAAATAACTGAATATTGAACACCCTGTATAATTGAGCATTAAAAAGATACCTTTTTACGGTACAACATTAATAAAATCAGTAAACTACTGATTATAAAAGCGCTTCCCGCGGCTAGGACCAGAGTGGCTGTCTGATACACGGGCGTTTCTACTTCTGTGAGGATTTCTCGTTGCTCCAGCGCCACGATTCGACTTTGCATAGCCATCGGTGTCGCTCTGTGCGTGAACCGAGAAGTAGTCGCGTCTGCAAACGATCCCAGCATAGACAACTTCTGGATTCTGGTCAATTCCTCGAGATGGAATGCTACGTCCACTTTATTTGGTCCTATTATCTCGAAGCTGAGTATGGCTGAGTCCTGGTTGATTTCCACTCGTATGTCGTTCTTTATCCTGGCGCCTAAATCGTGGAGGAGTTCCTCCGCTTGTCTCGTCAAGGTGATCTCGTCATCGGCGAGGAATCGACCGGGGAAACGCAGGGTCACTTCGACCGCCTCTACTGGAGTTGGCACTGCAACAACAAATATATAGAAATAATTTAGATGTTCATTATAAATAGGACACTGTATACAGAGTGTCTACAAGTTCATTTTAAATCCAATTATCAAGTGTTTCATAATTAAAAATAACATTAACATTACAGTAACCTTGACCAAGATTTATGATACGACCCAATAAAAAGATAAATAAAAAAGCAGTGAATCTTACAGCAAATATTTGTCCCTTTCAGGAAAGGCTCGGAACCAATGAGCTGATTGCCCGCCTCGTCGACGCACCAGCACGTATCGCCGGCGCACTGCGTTGCTTCGAACCTACCCTGACGATCACAGATGGCCGGTACGTGGCCTTTGTCCTTCATCGCCTGACACCTAGTACCCAACACCTTTCCGATTTGCTTCTCGTCCGTTTCCAAGTTAATCAGAGCGTTCTCCATGAACGCCTGAATTTCACGGTCGATTTCTTGAATCGCCGGCCCTCTTCCCCCGCGTCTCGCCTGCCTGAAGTTACACTTCGGCTCTGGTCCTCTGGTAAGCGAGCCTTTCACCGGCTGACCCTTTCTATTGACACACCAGCAAACGCCAACATGCTCCAGACACTGCACAGCCTCCCACATACCGTTCTCCGGGTCGCATCTAGGCAGGAATGTAGGTTGCTTAAGCCTCTGTGACGTTTTTAAATTTTTCTCCCTCAATCTCTCGCACTGAGACAACACAGGGCAAACCGTGTCGCATACTAAACGACTGGTGAAGTCGTTATGACCCAAAGTACACTCGGTTTTCCTCCTACATTCATTACGTTCCGGGTCAAAGTACCATCTCTCGGTATCGTTCAAACCCATACCCAAATTACAAGATACTTTTCTCGGTGGTTCGAAACAGACTTCCCTAGGTTTTGGACAGCATACAGCGTATTCGTTTAACGGAGAGAGTTCACATTTGTGCGTGGAAGGACAGTGTTGACCGTGAGGACCGCAAGTAGCTGGAGAACCGTTCTGATCCAACAACGGTGACCCGTTTGGGCAAGGATTATCCTTCTTAGGTAAGCAAACAGGCACAGGAGGACACGGCGGTACGCTACAGGCAACCTCGACCATTCTACAAGCTTCGTTCTCTCCTCGACAAGTCACGCTCTTGCAAGGATCTCTGCAAGAACACGTTGGACAACCGCTGTCAGGATCCAGTTCGAATCCTTCAGGACAATTAAGCTTACAATCGATCTCTGGACACCTTAACGGTGTGCTACACTTTGGCACGACTCCCTCGAGGACTCGTGTACCTGCTGCCTCTCTGCCCTCCTTGTCCACGCACCAGCACATTCCACTGTGACATTGAACCGGCTCAAACGTTCCACTGGCATCGCATCTCGGAATGTAGATCCTCCTTGCCGGTTCTCCTGACTCCCTCGCCTCGTGTTCCGCCACTGCACGCGCGTGTTGACACGCCGTGGCCATCACAGGAGCCACGCATTGAGTGCCACAACCGGTGGAGCAACACTTCTCCGTGGCGGAGCATTCTTGATCGTTGCTGCATTGTAGCTCGCAACTCGACGAACTGGGTACTAGATATGGACACTGGCCTGGTTTCATAGCCAGACAGGCTGGAACCGCCGGACAATGCTGTCCCGATCCGCAATTCACGTCCACCATTGTACAGGTCTCGTGTGGACCGCAGGAGACATCTTTGCATGGATCGTGACAACGACATTGTTCGCAACCGGTAGAATCCACCTCGTAACCGTAAGGACAGGCTAGATCGCAGGTTAGGGAACCGCATAATTTCAGAAGGTCTTTGATCTCCTTGCAGTCGGTACTGCGATTCACGCCGCTCTTCAGTATGACTCCGCGATCGTTCACGCAGGAACAGGTACCGTTATAGCATTGCAAAGGCTTGTAAGTGCCGTCTTTTTCGCATTGGGGCGGAGGTATCGCCAGGGACATATCTTCTCTGGTTCCTTCCATGCGGTCGTTGAATTCTCGTAGATACTCGCACACTGATAGGAACGATATTAGTCAGTTGTTAGAGTAGTGTTAGTTAAATATTCTAATTTTTTGTAATAGGGACAAACAGATCGTTCATTTTTCAATCGGAAGCTATTAGTTCTAGAACATAAACCGGTGTGGTGCATGTAAAAGTGGCTACGCAGGGAAAATACAGTTTTATTTGGGCGATAAAACAAATGGAGAGCTGGTTTTATGTGCGCCATACAGTATTACGAATAAACATCTTACTGGTCTGCGTTTTTGTGGAATTCGCTGACGTCACGCAGCACACTGACTGGCCAGCTTCCGGCACAACGGTGCATTTATAACCCAGAGGACAAGTGTCGTTCTCGGAACAGGTTATTGCATTACGTTCGTCGTCGATTAGGGGAGTACCATAGACGCAAGGGCTTGTGTAAGCTTTCTTCGGTTTGCACTCTGGCCTTGTTGGACAAAGGAAGTCTGGACAACCATCTTCTCTATGCAACGTACACTCTTCTCCTATTGGACACGGGAAACTGAAAGAGGAAGAAGAAGAACAAGAATAAGGCGCTTAGAGTTACAAGGGGTTATTATAAAGGACTATAATTAAATAGAGTTAATTATGTATCTACCCTTCACAGGGGTTGTCGCATTCGCAAGTCGAACATCCGGAAGCGTCAGTTTTAAATCCGTACTGGCAAACCTGGGCGCACTGCTGGGAAACACAGGAAGCCGGAAGGGACCTCCCCTTCGATATCGATTTGCAATCGACTTTGTCCGCTGGTCCCATGGAACCGGATATCTTTCGACCGTTGTTATCCACGCACCAGCAGACTAGACCGTTTCTCGAGCACTGTACACTCTCGTATCCTCCGTCTAAAACGTTGAAAAGTTCGTCGATTTGATATGCTATAAATAGTGAAATTTAAACAAGTAGCGTTCCAGTGAATTGTAAGATAATTGAAGAAAAATTCTCAGGAGGTTATTGAACATCTTCAGCCTCTAATTGTGAATAATATTTATTAATGAGACGTTCGTAGTGTTTGAGTATTGAAAAATAATTCTCGACAACTTTCATAGTGCATTAACAATCACTCTTGCTTTCTACGAATATTTTTTTACAATTCACAGCAACTCTAATCGATTCAACAATTCTAAATTCGTAATTAAACCAGTCTCTTATCGAAGATCGACATTGTGTATTAACATTAATCAAAATTCAATTTCCATCGAAAGACAGCGTTAAGAAGAAATTCATTCTTCTAATCGTTACTGAAGAATCTTCATCGTCGAACAATACTAACTTCCTAATTAAATCACTCTCTACTCGAACATCCTAATATATCAACACGTTCATCGCCGTTCTCTTAAAACAATCGTATTATTTTCCCTTGAATTCTCGATATCTACGTTCACCTCAAATTCACCTAATACAAAGTACACGTAATTTCTATTAAATCCACAAAATATACATTTTCCATGATCTATCACATACATATAACAACGATCCATCACGAGAATTATCGAGTCGCACACGTCTGACTCTACTAACGAACGTGTTAATATCCCAAAGACAACATCAAGAAGAAATTAATTAATTCCCCTTACCGTCCGTGCACTGAGGAACGTATCCTCTGCCCTGTCTCTCAGAGATGCTGAGCATCTCAGCGAGCACCCTGTCTCTGTGACAAGCGCTGAGACCCTGAGGCACGGAGCAAACTGCACCGCCGCATTTCTCGCTCTTGCAGCATTTCTGCGGTCCAGGGCACTCTAAGTCATGCTGACAGGAATTGCCGCAGATCGTTGGCTCCTCCGATGGGCAGGTTCCCGGTCTCTTCAGATTGATGCTCGACGGGCAACAGACACCGTACTCTTGCTTCGGTTCTACCAAGCAGCTGTACATAGGCGGGCATGTTGGTTTACCAGGTGAATCCCCGCAGAGAAATGGCCTGGGCGAGTCTGTGATTTGCAACGGCTCGCCGGCCGGACAGATCGTCGACAGGGACTTCGCTTTGCGACAGCTGGGAATTGGAGGGCATGGTGGACGGGCGCAAGTTACATCAATCAACTCGCACGTTTGACTGGTCCCAGGACAGGCGATCCCGCGGCAAGGATCCCGGCACTCGCATTTAGGGCAGCCAGTTTTCGCCTCGATCTACGCTCGTACCAGTGATTAATGACCGGCTGTCCTACCGGTGGCTCGAGTTAACCCTTTCGCTACTACGGAGGACTACAGTCGCTCGCTGCGGAACCGATCTTGTACGTATACTACGCGCGAACTATGCTAGCTCGACGTACAGGGTGAGATAGGTAAAGCGCGATAACTGAGTATTGTTGGAAATATCGGTGATATGGAAAAATTGAAGTACTTTAAAGAGCAGCTCGTTGAGAAACGAACTCCGTGTACTGTGAACGACTATGGTCGTTGGTATAGCTCTATATACAGGCTGAGTCTCGTAAAAATTATTGGTGATACGAAAAAATGTTGTTAGAAAGAATTGGAGTAGCAAGTATTTGCAGTACGTGAAATTAGTTTCTTCTATAACATAAAATGAAACTCGGCAGAAGAATGTCTCTGAAAAATCCTTTCCATGTGCTCTGTATATAGGGCACTTCAAAATAAAATGTTAACACTTAGAGAAACAGAAGTGAAATTTTGTGCATATTTCTTGGGAATTACTGTAGGTGATTGGAACATCTCTTCTTTTTGTTCCAAGGAGAATAGAAAATTCTCTATATAAGTGTTCAAATTTTATGGAGCTCCCTGTATATCCCCGTTAAACTGCAACCACTCTTAAACAGCGAAAGGGTTAAAAAACCAGCTATTTCATCCTAAAAAGCAAATATTTACCTCGAAACCCAATGGACACAGCATCCGACAGCTATGAGCCGGACATTGCCGAGGATTGTTGCAGTCGATGACGTCCTTTGCTGGGCCTCTGGTCCCAGGCACCTCTACGCCGATCTTATCGACGCACCAGCAGCTGTTCTCGTGAGAAGCGCATTGTATCTTCTCGAATTCGCCAGTCTCGTTGTTACACTTTGGTATGAACTGCGATGGTCCACGTGGACCAAGAGCACGCGACCGTCTTACAGCGGCCTGAGCCAACTGTTCGCATCCTGTCAGCTCGCCGATGACGCATTTCGTGCCGCAGGCTGTCTTACAACAGCGTTCGCCGGACGCCTGACACTGGAAATCATTCTTGCAGGCTGGCGCCCTGGATGGACATATGTTCTGCTCCTCGAAGGATGGGCATCGACCTACTGTCTTCAACGAGGGCTCTGTAATAGCGAGAACATGTGTCGTTCAAGAATTGGGGACTGTTACTGGCGCCAGAATTCTGCACTTTTTTGCATCATGCTCTCCTTTTTTACTGTCTTCCATTTCACCAGAATTCAATGTTAAACTCCAGAGAACTTTTGTTACATACTGTAGATACTTAGTAAAAGAAACGGCAAAGGAATTAGTAGGAGAAGATATAAATAACTTGAAGAAAGAAGCATAAGTGGTATAGGAGTCATCAGACGGTCTGCAAGTGCGAAACATTAGCACTATAATCGACCGTATAGTAACTCGCGCGGCGCCAGCTTTCCGGATGCATATTTCGTATCTGTAGGGGAGGACGATGATGTCTCGCTGCACTCAACTCGCAATGCAGCGTGAAAATTTCCAAGTTCACTGGTATAACAGGTTACAGCTATAACCAATCGTATAGGAATTCATGCATCACCAACTTCTCGGATCATCAACCACCATTTATGCGACGGAAAGAGAGAGAGAAAGAGGTGACACAAAGAAATCCTCGATTAAACGTCTCTATTCTTCCAAGTTCTATTTAAAAGCAGTCGCGAGTTATATACCCAACGTATTCTTCTCATCTCGGACAATATATCCCGGAAGGTTTTTAAGGTCAGCGAAGAAAAAAAAAAAGAAGAGGGAACTAAAGATCCATATCGAGAGGCAACGAATCCCAAAGGCCCAATTTCTTCTCGGAGAACCTCTTCCACGCGGCTCTTTCAATCAAGACACGCGGAAGGGGTCGCCCAGAAAGAAAGAAAGAAAAAAAAATACATTCCCCTGGCCCAGAATGTCTCTGAACGGCGTTAAAAAAGCGGCACACCTTGACACGAATTTATCCGAGTGTGACGGAACGAATTCGGTGGATCTTGCCTCTTGTGGAATCGTCGTCGGTTGCTTCCTCGCGACGAACAACTCTTTTATAGGTCAGACATCGAAGCGATCTCCGCGTTAGCGCGCTCGCGCTCGCTCGCTCGCCTCTGGATACCCCGCGAAACGGCGCTTTCGTTCTCAAGCACGAGTCTCGAAGTGTAGCGCGACGATAATAATAATAAAAATAGCCGGAGTCGAGAGCTAACGGTTCCTCGCATCCTACTGCCACACTTACTACATGCTCGCCTCTAACGTGCTACGAGCGTGTTTCCAGCGGGCTTCCAGCGTTCGCGGACGCCTCTCCTCTTCGCCGTAGGCGGAACACGGGGCAGACAGGCAGAAAAAACGACTACAAGGTGTAGAGCTGAGTTCGAATGCAACGGAGACGGCCGGTTGCTCGATTAACAGCAAATGCCTCCGGTCACGCGACCTTTTTCTCGTTAACTCGCCCGGGAAACTTAAGCGCACGCCTCTTCGATGGCCATCACACTTTTGCATTGACGGTTGTGTTTTAGGAAGATGAGTTGAACGAACGGAGTTTGGGTTTTCGTGCCTTTCCAGGGAAGCTTCAGGATGGTCCGGTTTTAAAGAGAAAGAAAGAGGTAGTAATAAATATGAGATTAAAAAGTTTGGAATTTATTTAATCCTTTACCTGCGGCTTATTGTTAGTACAGTTGAACACGGAAATAAGTTTAGAAATTTGTTAATAAATTTCACGTCTCATGGAAACGATGTACTTGTAGATGTAAGTCACTAAAATGAGTAATAAGATTCTATATATTTCACTTTGTTTAAATCAATTATAAAAGTCTTCTTTGTAATAGATTTTTGAAATATAAATGTGTCTGTACCGAGAGACGCTTATAGATCGGTAGACGAGTACGTTTGTAGTATCCTGATTTAGATATAGGTCAGTTATACACCAGTTCACTTTGCTATACGTGGCTTGAGAAACGCATCGTTCTTACAAAGTCAATTTGTGAATCATTTTCGTGTGATTCACCGATTAACGGTTGAAGAAGAAGGATATTGGTTAGATGAGATTTCAAGGTGGCCACACAGTGAGTACATATGTACACGATTACACACGTAGAATATACATATCTATGCGATAGCGAGACAGGTATCGCGCATGTCAATCGACTTTTTACTTTGACTCTCTATACGCCACGTTTTCACGTCGTTAAAGATTTCATAAAAGTCTAGTGAAACCTCCGACACATCCGATTACCCGAATTTCCGGTTCGTTGACCATGCGTCCTCTTTCTCTCCCCGCCTTTCTTGCTCTATTATAGCCATTTCGTGTTAATCCTCGCCGCAACGAGCGAGTTTCGCTGTTACGACATTCGCACGATCGAATTCCGTGCCGTGCGATTTAACGTCGATTAAATTGAATCGAATTTCTTTATCGAATCTAATACCATTCGTGTTTTATTTCATTGCTTCTAATTATGCTTTAAATGTATATTTTTTTCTGGAATTTTTAACTAATTTCGAAGATTTCAAGCACTAAAGAGCCAAAATCATTTACAATACGTGATTTTCGTAATGTAACCATGTGTTCGTATCAATGTTGCTATCGATTCCTTTCACCTGAAAGTAACACACGGTGTATTATAAAATTACGAAACACCGATATAATTACCGCGATTTCTATAGTGGCGATCATAACCACAATTTCCTGAAATGAAACGATTCCTTTTCATAAATATTAATTATCCAGTCGTAAAAGAATTCGAACATTCACTCCACATTTCAACAGCTACTTGATCAGTTAATAGGTTATCTGCTTGCAGCAATATTTTCATCGCTGTTTAAACGATAAAATATTGAATAATATAATTAGAAAAAAGAAAATTGGATCAACTGCAACGTTATCTAAGTATTACGTTATTTGAAAGTCTATATTGAAAAACGTTTATCTGCTACATGTGTTTAAAAAAATAAGTCTAACAGTAACAGCTACGACGCCATTAAAAATAGTGCTAGTCATGTGACCACCATGGCGGTCAACGTGTTCGGTCATTCATGAGAATTTCTACACAAAGCTAACCGTCACGAATGTTAAATTTACTACCTTTACCTAACCAGTGTTACATCATTTCGAATTGTATATTGAACAACGTTTATTCGTGGTTATTTATTCGAAACAATTTCAACGGTGACTACCAATAAATTCGCTGCCAGTCACGGCTAACCTCCATGACAGACAACGCGTTAAATCATTCATCAAATTTCCGCGTGCAGAATACAGTTGCGAGCAAGAGACTATCTGAGGAATGCCAGGTAAACCCGTGAAAGATAAAGAGACGAGTGGAGAAGCGGTAAGAATGTCAAAGACCCGGGGTGGAGGTGGAAGGAATACACGGAGGCCAGTGAAGAGGAAACGTACATAAGAGAGAAAAGACGTGCACGTCGACCAGCCGTAGGAATGCAGAATGGAACGTACTTTAACGGTGCGAGAGAAATTCAATTTGTTATTTGGCCGGTAGCGTGCATATCGTTCGCGGGCCCGATATTTATCGAGAGGTCTCAGTATCCCGGTGTAACACATTACGAATCGATTGGAGGCTACGTCATGTCGTTCGGCCCGTCGTCGACCGGCAATTTAACCTGGTAATTAACGTCTCGTTAAGTGCATCGTTCATCCGCCTAGAGGACGTACCGCGGTTCGCCGCTGTATAATCCTTGGCAAATAATTAACTGATCGATTAGGGGACCCTCTCGTGTCCCCGTCGAGATATCGATACCGGTGTCCCGTTCCCGTGTAACTGTGTCGTTACAAGCGATTAATAACGCCAACGTTATAGTCGGATACACTCGAAGCAGTCGTTTTTCGAGTGATTTAATGACTCCTTGTGAACGAGTGGCGCCTATACCGGGTGCCCCGTGTTTTTTCCAGTCTTTTTTTCTTATGAAAATATGAAAAGTGTTTTAGGTTAGTGAATTTATGGTGGCAAGTGAGACATTGTGCAAAGAAGAGTGAGGTATAATTTTTCAATAAAAAGTGATTTTTATGTAGCTTGTTTAATTTTGAATAACGTGAACACCATTTTCGAAGTATTTCACGAACCTGTCACATCGCAAACCTTTCTTCGAACTGTCGGTAATCTATTTAAGTCAAAACTAACCTTGAAAATGATCTTCGCAGAAAAATATTATCTTCGAATTTTTTAACGCTATAAAATATCTGCATTATTTTTGAAACCTCCCACGAATCTGTCACGCTACGAATAGTCCCTGCGCTATTAATAATTCTCTATTTCCATCTACACTTCTACATTTTCAACACATTGCGACAAAAACACTTCAACCAGTGAACTTGGAAATGCAAGAAAATTTCTCTCAAAGAGATCGTCCAAGGAGGATTAAGGGGGGATTAGGCTTCTGCTAAGGAGGCTTGGCTTTTCCCGTAGCGGGCGGTTTTTCGCAACATCAAGGACGAATACGTCGGTGAGGATGCTTCTTGAAATCCGATCACGTCCGCGACGTCGCATTATATGCAGATGCACGCCCGTTTCGAGAACTTGCTTTCCTTTTTTTACTTTTTTATTTCCTCTTTTTTTCTTTTTTTTTTTAGCTCTCTCACTCTTCGTTCCCCGATGCACGTCGTCCCCGCCTCGTTGGCCGAACGTGAACACGGCACCAGGCTCTATTGTTTGCTAATGGCCGCTCTTTCAATAATTCGGGACCAATCATTACGGACGGACGAGTCACAGGGGCGACGGCGGGGAAATCGCTGGAAATAAAAAAGGGCAGAGAAAGCGGAAGAGAGACAAAAAAGAGACAAAGGGAGAAAGAGAGAAAAAGGGGTAAAATAAACGATAGAGAAAAGGTAGACACACGTTACCTGCTGTGACCGACGATGACAAAGATAGTAGCAGCCAGCAGGTCGATGACACCCACACAACGGCGCAGGCAAGCCCACCGTTGCAGAAATCACGGCGCATCCTCAGCGCATCAAGTGATTTTTTAATCGGCCGCTATATCTGAAATTATCAGAGAAAAAAAAAGAACGAATGAGAACGAAGTCACCGGACTGTGTGTGCTCGCCGATGTTGCGATCGATCGATACGGCGAACGGCTATATATTGTTGTTTAGTAGCGGAGGTTGTGTGTCTGAATTTTTTTCTTTTTTTTTACCGCTTTGAGTTAATAATAATTATGGATGTTTCTCAGTTGGACAAAAGAGAAAAAAATTTAGGCATATTAAATTGGAATTTATTGCTAATGGTATTAACCTTTTACTCCCCACGATAACTACTATTGAAGGTTTACCGTAGTTCTTATTATTTTTGAGTGATTATTAGTATCCTTTGGTTCAATTATATTTCATTGAATAAATAATCATTTTGTTGAATAATTATTCAAAAATAACTCGGAGTGTAAATGGTTAATTTTGTGTTTTATTCGTGTATCTTGTTATAGCCTGCAAGCTGCAGGATGTAATCAGAGTAATTCATATCGATTTTTTAAAGCTTTTCATCTAGTTGGCGATCCCATCAATTTTTAATAGAATTCTGATGAATTTCTCGCATGGATGATATGCAAGAGAGTAATTTGATTATATAATCTGGTATATAGTATAATTCAGTATTAAAAAGAAGATACACGAACCGCACTTCAATTTATTCCCTGATCGGGGTCAGGCAGGTATCTCGTATCATCAGGTTAAGAGTTAAAAAAGAGTCTGTTGTCGGTCGATGAAATAATTAATCGGTCCTTCAAACGTTTCGCGGAGAAGGAGAACGTTACGGCGCGTGATGGAATCAAGATCCAAACAGTAACACATTTCTGTTTTCCTTTTTCCGTGCAGAATCCCTGCTATTAAAGTTCCTTAAAGTTGCGCTTCGCCTTTTCCGGTGGGCCAATAAAGCCAAGATTATAGATCCTTAATGGAAAAAGTTTCTTCTGAAAACCACAGAGAGAAGTCGCCGCCCGCAAACGCGAAAGCAACAACCGGGCTGGTTTTCATTTCTCTTTGAAGGGGTTCGTCGAAATTGAGAGAAAAAAGGAAAGAAAACGAGAATACGTTTCTCGATCCATGAAAAATCTATTTCCATCGGTCTTGAGGTATTTCAGGGATTGGATGGAAAAGAACTTGACTAAGAAAATAGAAGCTGAAAAAGAGTTCATAGAAGATGTACGTAGATAAATATTTCACAAGAATTACGTATGAAATACATAATTATTTCTGTATTTAAACATCCTTTTTACTTTAAAAAGAGATCAATACAGAGAGATTTCATAAAAAATTCATACTAAAAGAAATAAAGCTCTCTTGGAAAAGAAATTTCTTTATAAAAAAGATTTTTCTGCAGAAAAAAAGAAAATCCTCCTCTTAATCTCATTACTTAGAAAAAATTCCCCACTATATCATCATCAACATTACACATTGTTCACAGAGAATCCCTTTCGAAGATTCATTCCAATGAGGAGTTATGCAGAAGCGCAGACACGAGTTGGGGACGAAATAATTAATCTAATTGCCAGCAATGGCTCAGAAACGGGTCTCGATTAATTTCGCAGTTCAAGAACGTCGACCCTCTCGGGTCATCGTTGTTGTCCCGTTCCTAATTAACGGCCTGAAAATAATCTTTTAATTCCACGGCCGTGGCCTAAGTGGCACTCATGGAGAAGTATTCACTGTGGTCGTGCAAAAATGACGAGAGAGAGAGAGAGAAGGAACGCGTAACTTAGGGATTCTCCGCTTTAAAAGGACGAATAACAATGGAAGTTATGTCTTCTTATTCGTTATGCCACGGAGAATATTCTAATGCGTTCCTCTCCGTTATTCATGAGCCAGAGTCAGCACCGAGATCTACGAATTGCCAGGACGTTTTCGTTTCTTTTCACCCGTCCCTTTGTTCCTCGTTACAACTTCGACGACGAAGACATTTCTTCCTGCCCTTCGCACCCTTTCCGTTCTCCTTTCGCGAATATTCTCATTCTGGCCACAGTTCCACGGTGAAAGAGATGATTAAAGGTAAAAAAAAAAGGACCTGTTTTCCTTCCTGTCTCGAATGCGAATATCTCGTCTGTATTTCTCTTTCCATATTTTTTCCGTGTATAATATTGCGATGAGAATTTTAAAGATACAGGATGGTTTAAAAGATGTGTCGAAGATTTTTGAAAAATTGTTTCATTGATATTTCGATCGATATTTTTCCCAAATGGAAAATAGAATTTTAAAGATTTCGTATTTCCTCGTGTCGCGATGGACACTGCGCATGCGCATACGAGCTCGGTGAATCCCCACACGCAAATTACATTTGAAACTCTCTATAGTTCAATTTTGTTTGTATCAAAGTTATCATTACTCGAAAATTCACTTGTAGACATAATTGAAACACCCTGTACCGCGTTAAACACTACTTTTTTTCTCTATCTACGATCTGTACTCTTTATCAAAGCTCGATGAATCACGGGGCGCAGTAGTCTCTTACATTAATTCCCCGGGATCCCCCTCCACGGCTCTGTTTTGCTTCAAATTTTTCATGAAAATTCAATTCCGCAGCGAACGCCAGAGCACTCTCCGAGCCTCCTTGTGTTCTATTTTTTCTCTTCTCGCATTTTTTTTCTCCATTCCTTTTACTGCACGCATATCGCGGGAACCTTGATTATTTAGTTCTATTGTAAACATAACGCGAGAAGCGCGTGAATTTTACACTGTTCGAAAAATCCGAGGACAAATTCTTCGATTATCACGATTACCACATTAATAAACGATACTATTTGGGTATTGTACTATGCTAACTGATACGAACCTAAAAAAAACGATTTATAGGTTAAGTTCACTTGGAATTCGTTGAAGCAGAAATCTGTTAAATTTGCTATAACCTATTTCGATTGATAAAAATTTAATTTTGTCTAGGTTATTAAAGTTCAAAACATCCTAAACCTAACCTAACCTAACGAAAAAAATTTATAGGTTAAGTTCACTTGGAATTCGTTGAAGTAGAAAGCTGTTAAATTTGCTATAACCTATTTCAATCAATAGAAACGTAGTTTTCTCTACGTTATTAAAGTTGAAAATTTCATTTTCGAATCTTACACATCGTTTCACATGGAACGATCTGATATTTCGTTCGATTTGTCCCGGAACTTTTTGAATAGAGCTGTAGAGTAACAGCGGACGAGAAATGGTGGGGGCCATTTTACAACGGATATTTCGGACAACGACACCGGGCCTGTTCGACGGTGAAATTACCAACGGTTACATCCTTTGGGAAGCCTTTGAATTTAGGGTGTATCCGTATGAATAATGCATCGAGAAAGAGACTTTAACCGCGACGACTCGGCGGGGCCCTCGATGTTCTTGTAATTACATCGATGATCACGGTTAAAAGATTACAGCCGTAACACGCAGGCATTATGTTCGAAAATTCGAGTTTCTATGCTTGGTTTCGCGTGTAATTGATACCTCGGGAGCCATATTCGTTTTGCCCCTAACTCCTCGCAACAATTTCGCCGCTTTGTGTGAAATCAACAGAGAGAAAACGTTGTATATTACAACGAAAATTGCCGGTGTTTACTGATTTCGTTGAAAAGATACCCTAAAATTTGAAGATTATCGCGCGATCCGAATGGACGAAAAATTTTGCTTTCGTTCTATGGGAAACCGGATCGAACTGGCGAAGAAAGTGTGTTACAGAGTTTTCGAGTTAGACGAGAGAATCGAATTAAATTCGATGACTCTTTGTAAATTTGCGCGATTCGTCGAAGAAGAAGAAGAATCGAGAAAGTACATGTACGATGCACCAGTTCGAAAATGACTTTCCAAGTGTATTAGAAATTTGCCCGTTAATAAACGAACGGAGTGGCCGCGTGGTTTTCACTGCGATGGAAATATCGAACGGATACTTTCGATGAAAGGATGGACGTTATGAAATTGTCGTGGAAAAAAGACGACTCGAGTGGGCTGGCAACTTTTAATTACACGTGTATCTCGCAAGTGCACATTTAATTATTTATTCTTAGAATCGTCTGCGTTAAATATTCTCCACTGAAGATTATTGTTGATATTATCACCATTCGAAATGTGCAACATTTTGAAACAAAAAGATGACTTCAAAGTGAACGTCCCTTGGACCAATCTCCCATGATCCCTCGTCCTTGTGTTCATAGTGCATCAAAAGATGGTCCATAATGCGGCAAGAACGTCCGCTCTCTCAAGGCTAATACACACACAGGATGTGGGTCACTTCGTCATCGGAGTTCCTTCCGGGTCGAGCTCTCGCGCGTTAACTTTCTATTGTCATATACACTTACACACGAATCATTATACGTCCACTCTTGACTGTACACAAGCGCGGTCTCTTCTGTGCGTCATCGGTGGAACACTTTCGTGGAAAGGTACTTTTAAATGAGTTTCAGTGAAGTGGGGAGGTCCGTCCCATGGGTCATCGTCCGATGGAAATCGTGAATGAGCTCTGCACGCATATACCGGAATCGACTGAGTCGCGTCGTCGTTCGATGGACCACTTTGAAAAAAGGGAAAAATCAAGTGAAAGAAGAAGAAGCAACGAATCCTTCTTCTCTTCCGTGATTCGATTGCATCCTCGTTGATAAGTAGCTCAGTGGTACGAGCGTGGGTTCGACGAAAATAGAAAGTGCCGATGGAACGTTTATATCATCGCTATATCGCCGTATGGCGTAGCCTGTGCATTATAGATCATCGGTTTGCGTCGTCTGTTTACGACTTCCTACATTTTTTCCCGACTTTCCATCGCTAGAAAGCGACCGCACGTTCCTCACGAACGAATCTATAGAAGTTTTACGAACAGCGAGAAATAAACGACGACAGGTGGAAAGAAGAAAGAGAGAAAGAAACGGTGGTACACGTATTCAACGATCGTCTGGCGTATCGTTTATTATCGACAATACTACTTGAAGACAGACGAGACGCGGGATTTACAAATGGAAATTACGTGGGATATTTATACGGCGAAGAGCTTTCACGAGGATTCCCTCTTAGGAATGACGTTTG